TGTTGTGGTATCTACCCTTCTGCCCTGGGCTATTCACATTTCCTATATCCTCCTATCACGCCTTCACTGTCCCAATTTTTTACTTGCTTATTTAAATGTGGTACGGTGTGCCCTTTTGAGCGGCATTCATGGAAACCCTTCACACTCCACCCTTCACTCCCTACGACTAAGATGCCGGCGAAACGTCTGGGAATGTACCACGTCCACGGTCCAACTTTGGTAATGAGGATGCATACAATGGACTCAGGACAAGGTGCGTTCCTCTAAGTCTTCCTACCAAAATGACCAAGTTGCGAAAACAAGTTCAACGAAAGGAGACTGCGACCACACAAAAGGCCACCCCATCTTGGTCTTCATACCTTCATGAATTAATGTTGGAGCGAATTTGGAGGCTGCCTTGGAGCTGTGGTTGTAGATTTGTGCGAATAGGTCCTTAGGGCACTGCTCTGCCACCCCGATGAAACCTTTCTGACCTTTTTTCCGTCATGTGACGGACATCATCAGAGCAGGACAACACGCTTAACGATAACTCACCAAAAAACCGAAGACAAGAAAGGTCACCGGCTTCAAACCTACCTACTTCTCATAGTCAAATTCAGTCAATTTAGGATGTTCTATAGTTGGCCACTATGTTTGATCATAAGTAAAGTTAATTGGTTGTGGATGACATGTGAAGTGGGTACAGATGAAGCTTGAAACGGGTGCAATTGTGATCGAACAGCTGTATCGTCCCCCAAAACACGTATGCCATTGATCCTGCAATATTATCGCATGTGATTGCGTTCGATGGCGCGCATATTTTGTGAATGCATTGAACTTGAACTGAAAGTCAAAGCTGGATTCGAGCCCAATCAGGCCTCCTCCATTTGCTCGGTGATACTTCTTGTTACCACCTCTTTCTCTATTCCTATCCAACAGCCACAGATAGTTTCCACTTAACCTACCGCACTCATTCCTTCTAATCAGCTTGTTGGCTGTTATGCTGATTTCTGTAGATTCCCTAATTTCACCAGAAGAGGACTGTTGAATCTCGTTCTACAGCAGCAATATGGCTTTTATACGACGTTGAGATTGATGCAGTCCACGAGACCGCACTCTTTTCAGGTGAAAACGGGCTGACCTTTCGTCCATCATCAGAGCTGGGACTCATTCTTGTAAAATTCCCTGGTTAGAGCGACCTTAGAATATCTTCTTCATTCCCTAATTTTCCACTTATTGCAATAGTCCCTATAGCCAGCTAGGCATTTGACATTAGACCAATCCATCTGGTGTCCTGTGCGAGCCGATCTTTGGTCACAAATATTCTTGCAGGCTGTTTTGTGTTCGAATAAACTCTTCTGTACGGACCTACAGGTCTCTCCTGCATATGGGCCACTGCATGAACACAAAATCTTGCAACAGATTGATCTGAAGAGAGGGTCAGAGTATTCTCGAAAAGAAGGCAATATCGGGGATAGTGTTATTTGCTCTTTATAAATGTTCCTGATGTCACCCCTCCTCACTAATTCGCCTATTTTCTTCTACAGATTACACGATGGCAGCATAAGGAATCTGCTAGTGGCCTAACCTTTTAACTATCCTCAAATATGCATTTCCCTCAATCCTATTTGACAATATTCTAAAATAATTGTCAATCAGTACTCGTGAATAAGTATTATCAACCAGAGTTCGCCTTAGTCTCCTCAATTCCTAGTCCCGATGACCAACATCTGCCAAACACATGCTCCCTATTATCATAGATTTCATAACTCTCATTTAAATCCCATAAGTGTGGTTGCAAGATTCAAAAGGAAACCTGCAGTTGTGGGTTTCCTATTCACATCTCGACCTAATCTGCCCTTTTCTTTGCTAAATAGAACACCATCTTTATTTTCTAGCGTTGTGGACTGCGTCAACCTGAAGATCGTATTAAAGTCAAACGGTAGCAGTACCATGGGAATTGGCTGTATTCTCCTGTGAAATAGACAATCAATTCTCGTCTTCATACCCTTTCATATGAGATGAAAGTCTGCCCAACAATGCTACCTCAGGCGGTTCATTTAAACACAATTATGCTTGGTATCTACACATTTCGCTGCATTTAGTGCCTATCCTGGAATCCCTCAAAAGGATCCAGTTGCAACGTTGACAAGTGACAGTGCTCACCTCGCGCTCTGCCAGCAGAGCCTCGAGCTCTGGACGCGGCGCCGGCTCCACCAAGTCCGGTGTCGTGTCGTACTCGTTCGTTGTAGCACCCACTGCCATTTGACGATCGGCCGGCTCTCGCCATCCCACCACGGCCCTCTCCAGCCAGCGTTCCGCCCCTCCCAGCCAGGCGGCACATGCGGCCAGGCTGACACCGGCTGTATCGCACTCGGTGACGGGTATTCGCGAGTCGATCGCCCATCGCCACGCCATCATCAGCTGATCCACCTCGGTCCAGGCCTCGCGGGCGATCTCCACTTCGCTGGCCGTGATCGCGTACAACCGAGCGGCATCGAGGCTCGTGTCGAGAAGGGACTCACTGTTGGCGGTCGGATCATCGGACAGCAGGTCAAAGACAAAACTGCAAGGTCCGGAAACCAGTTGAGTCCCCTGAGTGACTGGATGCGAAGAGAGAAGGCGAGCCAGATAGACTCGGGGCTCTCTGACGGACTGAAGCACAACTTGATAGACCTAAAGCGTTATTGTGCAAGTAGACCGAACTTAACTTCGTGACATGTAAAAATAATGCATGCATTCTAACTTATATCAGATGTACTCATCCTAGTTCGTTTAATGTGATAATGCGACTGGTAGCTGAATTTTCCCACATTCATGTGAGTAGATCCTACGTTTCCATTGAATTTCATATAGCCTTGCTTCCAAAAAGGTATTCTCCCCCGGCCTGAAGTGGGGTGCGGTTTCAACCTCGCCTGAACTGGTCTCGTCAGCACGCCCAGCGTATAATCTCTACATGCTATATCACATTCTGTGATGGGATTGCCGATAAAGCAGAACAGTATTTGCATTACTTTTTTGTTGTTTATAAATAGATTCTTGGTGAGTATTCAACCTATTTTGTTTGAGCTGATGAAGAACTGGTAGTTGAATTTTTCCGCAATCATAAGAGCAGCCCTTACGTTTCCATTTAATTTCATATACGTAATTGAGTAGGGTTTCGAGACTACCAGTAAATCATTGTAATGAGATGTATTCACCCTATTTC